GCTCGTATGTGAGGGCAAAGTAAGTTGATTAAAACAAGCAAATACAAAGCTTTACATAAGAGTACAAGGAATGCGAATAGATGTAATTAGATGTAATTAAACTACCTTGCTGTTGCGATTCGATACAGTGCGACTCGGGCAACTGCTCAATGTCCAGTCAGTTGTGTGTCCTTGCTGTCGCGCTGTATTGGTCAAGTCAAATGTCGCTGACCTTTGACCTTCGCAGTAACCTCCAGGCGGTTACCCTAACCTCCGAGGGTTGACTCGCGATGCTTCGATTTGGACTTCTTCGCTTTGTGTCCTGAGTTTCGACACGACAGAGGCGCTTAACTTATTTGTTCCCAACAGCAAGAACGCGTACAGTACTACGAAACTAGGTTGCGAAATGGGGACGGGGACTTGAAACGCACCAATTGAGGGGGGTGAAAGGCGGTAAGCACGGAGGGGATGGCCACCAGGGCTAATTTTATCAGGGTAAATCACCCTGATACCCTGATAATAAGGGTGGTTTTTGGCTGTCACACTGATGCCTTAGGGTAATTTTTTCGGGAGCTTGTATTTTCCTGATAGGCCAGGGTTTACGTTTGAGGTACACTGACGGCCCAGGGTTACCGATCTTTGTAACGAGTTTTACCCTGAATCGAGTACATACCCTCCCCGAGCCGCCCCACCCCCCACCCCCTCTCTACCCACCCCCCCTTTCCCGTATCGAGGTTCTCGCATGCCGACTGTAGAAACTGAAATTTGGCAAAGGCAACATCTCTGAGCTGGCACGAGGGGGGCCTCCATTGGCCAGAAATACATTTTCGTTATTGCCTGCCAACGATAATATCAATACACTAGGGTTTGCAAAACTGGTACACTGATCCTACAGGGTATAATTTTCAAAACTAGGAAAACCCTGGTGGATCAGGGGTTTGAACAGGTGTCACACTGATAATCAGGTTTTTGGACTTGTGCAACACTGATCACAAGGGTTGCTGGAAACCAAAAATTAGCCCTGATGGCCACGTGCTTGCAGAGGGTTGCAATTTGGGTTGCAAGCGGTAAAATCGAGCTGCAATGACTTGGGGCTATACCCATCAATGTTTTCATTAGGTGCTAGTACTATTTATCTCAATCTAGCTCATACAATAAATGGTAAATGAAATTCCACACCATCGCCTCTCCCACAGTCCCATAATACTCTCCCTCAACCTCCGTAGTCTTCTTGCCTTCCTCGGCTTCGGCAAAGCAACTGTAGTGCACATCCGTATTCTTACAAGTGTCATCAGGCCTAGGGGCAGCAATTAGCCAGTCGTTGAGAAGAGACAGTCCGTAACGTCCTAAATGCCCGGCTATAACTTCGTTCAAGTGTGAAATGAGGGTGTTTGTTCCCTTATCACAGAACTCGTTAAGCCGTTTTGGGGGGATGGTTCGGTACAGAAACCAAGGGCCTTTGTCGGGCAGCCTCTGAGTTTCAACCTGCCCCTGGAGCTGCTGCTGTTGCTGCTGTTGCTGCTGCTGCTGCTGCTGCTGCTGCTGCTGCTGCTGCTGGCTGCTGCTGCTGTTGCTGCTGCTGCTGCTGCTGCTGCTGCTGCCGTTGATGCTCCAACTGAATCAATTCTATTCTGGAGTAAAACCACTGCAGGAAGTTAGGAAGATAGTACCCAAAGGCGTTCTCAGGCTCATCACAGAAAAAGGTTGTCCAGTAACCCCCATCTAAGAGAGTCACATGGGCTGTTGTGGAGATGTTTGGGAACTGGAGCATTTGAAAATGACGTGATGTTCTCATTCCTGCATGGTGACAATAACGAGGGGGAAAATAACAGGAAATGGTGGGAAGAGAAGGCAGATGGAGTGTGTTTAGAGCGAGATACTCTCCTTTATCCGGCCTTAAACAAGAAATTGTCTCAATCACGAAAGGATAAACACAACGGATTAGAAAGAAGCAGACATAAACAACCACGGTTTACCTGCAGCCAAAAGACCCGTTGACAAACATCCCTCCGATCCAATAAAAGTTGAGCTTCAGAGGCTGCAGCTCCGGGCTAGGGGGCGGCACGACCAACTGAATGTCCCAATGGTACTGAAAAGTGGAAGCATTGGCCTTGCCAGTGAGGAGAAAGTAGAGGTGGTGGAAGAGGAATCGCACGTGAGAGTCCCCCACAAAGTTGATTTCGGAAATGCCCCGGGATTGGAGGGCGGAGACCCATTGGGAAGTGGGAGGGAGGGGGTGTGCGCAGGGGTAGAGCTGCCACGTGTAGTTTTGCGTCTGTTCATTGAGCAGCCAGCGGCCGTTGATGGAATGGACGCAGGGCGAATCTGGGCCGTCCATTGCATTCTGTGGAAATGTGCTGCTGACTTGGGACACAGCAGAAGTAGCGGTAGCTGATTCAGTGGCTGGTTCGGTAGCTGGTTGGGTGTGTGGAAGGACAGTGAGGTTCCACTGTGCCATGACATGTGATCCCGTGGTGCTGACTCGCTCCAAGTAATTGGGAGCAAAATTCAACGTGTCGCACTCTGATTGGACCAGGACGCTGGTTAGGTGGGGATTCAGGAGAAGAATTTGCAAACGGAAACAAGGAAAGAGGTTCAAATAAGAAACTGTGATGTGCGTCTGAAGGGTTAAATTCAAGTGGAGAGAGGTTCGGGAGGGAACACATTCAGCTCCCCCTGATTCCCTCCTGGCCCACGATTCTCTTTATCCCGGCCTTCCCCTTTCCTCTCCTTCGCCTTCCTCCTCCACCCCTTCCCACCCCCACCCTCTTCCCACCTCCTCAAGCCTCACCTGTAGTTACCAGCGTCCCACCTTCTTCTCCGTCCCTTCTATTTCCGCTTCTCTCCATACCCCTTCCCATGTCTCCCCGCAACCCTCACCTGTAGTTACCAGCGTCCCACACGCGGTACGTGACTCGCCATCGCGTGACGTCACCCTCCTCTGTAGTCACATCCGCTACAGCCAACGCAGGTCCCATCAGCCTCACCACCAGCGACTCTTGCAGCCCACCCACGCCCATCCGCCTGTCCCCGACCCTAAACCTCTCGCTACTGCCACTACCCGTAGCGCTACCACTGCTGCTGTCGCTACGACTGCTGCTGTCGCCACTACTGCTGGAGCCGCTACCACTGTAGCTGGCGGCGAAACCCCTTGGTCGCGCGACCCATTTCGCGGGCGATCGGACGGCAATCTCGAAGGCGCATAGCTCGCCCACCGTGCAGCGGGAGCAACCCCCGCCGAAAATCAAAACGCCCTCCTTTCTCTTCCTCCAGATTCGTTCCTCCTCGATTGCCTTGTCATGAGCGCCCTGCGTCGTTGAGTCGTTCTGATGCGGTCCGCCGCTAATCGACTCGATCGTGTCGTTGTTGGTTCCCGACGAGTCGCTACCATACCCGCCATGGTCCCCAGACCACCAGCAAATTGGATCGGATTCTACCAAATGATTTTCTGGAACCTGGCATTTCTCCCGACTCGCAGCCACGTCAGCATATGATTTACCCTGTTCGTTCGCAGAAAAATGGCCGGGCCGAACGTGGATGCCTGGTGCGTCAGCATATATCGTGTATGAGTTCACGAGTACGGTGAAGAGTAGCAACGGAACTACCACTAACGCGAATAACGCTAGCAAAGTCACAAACGATAGCCAAGACGCCTTCGAGTCATGAGCTTCAACAACTTCCATGAAGAACTTTCGGAATAAAATAAATACCAATATATTAAATTTTGCCCGGCACAGAGGCAAACGGCAAATAGCAGCAAGTCATATCGGCATGACTAATCAGCACATGCCCATATCGGCAGGGAGCATAGCGTTCTGATCTGCTGGTGGCCGTTGCAGCCACGACTCGCGAGTCACGACGACGATGGCCATTGAATTCAGGCTCCACGCGACGCGATGTTCATTGGGTTGGTGGTGGTATTCTCTAGGAGGAATAGCCTGGCATCAGCCATGGCTGGCAAGGCGAGGAGAGGCGAGATGCTAGGTGCGTGTCCCTTCAAGTTTCCTCTCCGATAGTAGTAATCGGTTCAACAGGTTCGCACACGGTAGAACACGGTTCGTGCTCGCTGCCTCCTCGGACCGCAACGCACCAAACCAAACCGTACGTGAATTCAAATTTAACCCCGTTATAATCCAGCGGACTCGTTTGAAGAGCCCAAGCTGGGGCGCCTTCACCAAACTGCGGGTGTTGTCGGTGATAGTGGGCTTGGTTGTCTGATATGTCAGAACCAGCCCAAGAGAGGTGTGTCCTGCAGACAGAACGTCGCTGAGCAGTACAGTACGGTCCTCCTTTGTTTCAGAATCATGACTAGACTTTGATAGTGGAGGTAAAAACGATGGAGCGCTTAGATGGAGCGCTTGATGCATGAACACAAAACGTAGTCTAAACGATTGTTGTAAGCATTGATGTATATATCACTCGCCTCAGCATGCGCCTTGAGGGCCTTGGCATGGTGCTTGATGAGGTTGCCAAAAAAGATGCAATGAGGTTGCCAATGATGATGCAATGAGGTTGCCAATGATGATGCAATGAGGTTGCCAATGAGGATGCAATGAAGAAATACAAGTGGTTGTAGCCCCCTTGGAAGCACACGGTACAGCCTTAGCACTCTGCCAAAGCTTCGATCACGCCTTCAGAGCCTTGGCATGGTGCTTGATGTGGTCACCAATAAACGATGCAATGAAGAAGTACGAGTGATTGTAGCCTCCCTGGAAGCGCAGCCTCGGTGGCATCCCTGCCTCCGACCCTTCCAGATATATCTTCAAGCCTTTAGAGCCTTGGCGTGGTGCTTAATATGGTCACCAATAAACGAAGCAATGAAGAAGTAGGAGTGGTCGTAGCCTCCCTGGAAGCGCAGCGTCAGCGGCACGCCTGCCTCCGTGCACGCCTTTTGGAAATTCTCCGGCAGCAGCTGCTTCTCGTGGTAGAACTTGTCACTGTCGCCCTGCAGGGAGTGAACATGAAAAAAACAGAAGAGAATTCGAGGAGGGGGGATTGAGATCAATGGGGAAAGTGGTCGTTCACGATGCCTCCGTGCGAGCCTTTTGGAAGTTCTCCGGCAGCAGCTGCTTCTCGTGGTCGAACTTGTCGCTGTCGCCCTGCAGGGGTGAAACAACAAGAGAAGAGTTGAGGGGGTTGAGGGGAGAGACATTGAATTATGATGCTTCAGAACAGACCACACCACCTCCGGCAGCAGATGCTTCTCGTGGTCGAACTTGTCGCTGTCGCCCTGCAAACGTGGAAAAACGAAAGAGAAAAAGAAAGAAGAAAAGAAAGAAGAGATTGATGGATGAAGTGCTCTCTTACAGCAAGCCGCTCTGGAAATTCTCCCGGCAGCAGCTGACTTTTGAGTCGACTCAATAGTCTCTTACAGCAAGCCGCTCTGGAAATTCTCCCGGCAGCAGCTCCTTCTCGTGATGGAACTTGTAGGAAGTGAACCAACAAGAGATGTTTTTTAAGGGATTTAGGGGGTCTAGAAAAAAAAACCCCATGTCCTCCGGACAGCAGCTCCTTCTCGTGATGGAACTTGTCACTATCGCCTTGCAGGAAGTGAACCGACAAGAGATGTTTTTTCATGGGATTTAGGGGGTCTAGAATATAATCACACGCCCTCCGGACAGCAGCTGCTTCTCGTGATAGAACTTGCTACTGTCACCCTGCAACGGCAGTGAGGAGGTGGAAAGTGGGAGGGGGAGAGGGAGAGAGTGGGAGGAAGTTACGAATAGAGCCTTGAGCTTGCGGTTTTTTTTTTTTTTTTTTTTTTTTTTTTTTAGGGGCCTCAAAAGGGACAGAGAGAGGAAGCTCAGATCTGAGCCTTAAAGCCTGAGGAGGCTATGTTACCTGGTCAACTTGGTCTATAAGAACTTGCGCATTAGAATGTTGGAACTGATTCACAGGTGCTGTGGCTTCCGGGTCTGACTGACTGCAGACACAACTTGATGTCTGGGCTCCGCAATTTCCTGGTCGACAAAGAATGTCTGCCTTGGACCCTGGGTGCTGCTTCGCGAGTGCTGTGGGGTCATACTCATGAGAGGCCTCGTTTCCAAGGAACAAACCTGAGGAGGACCTGAAGCTACGGATTGGGGGCTTTACATTCCATACCTGGTCGATAAGAACGCCTGCCTCGTGCCCTGGGTGCTGCTTCGCTTCGCGAGTGCTGTGCCGGTTCTACTTGCAGACTGTGTTGTGCCCAACCTGGTCTGTGTTGTGCACGTACTACAAGACTGTGTTTTGTACATGCCTACCTGGTCAATATTGATGCCTTTTGAGGCGCCTCAAAAGACGTACTACAAGACTGTGTTTTGTACGTGCCTACCTGGTCAATATTGATGCCTTTTGAGGCGCCTCAAAAGACGTACTACAAGACTGTGTTTTGTACGTGCCTACCTGGTCAATATTGATGCTGACCTTGGGCTCTGCGTTGCGCGGGTACTGGGACGGGCGCAACTAAAAGACTGGGTTATGAACTGAACGTTGATCGCGGGTTCTGTGCGTGGTCATGAACTGAACGTACCTGGTCGATGAGAATGTCAACCTTTGGCCCTGGGTACTGGTTCACGAGCGCTGTGGCGTCATACTCCTGAGAGGGGCAGGCGTGCAGGGGAAGGGATGAGGACGAGGAGGAGAGAGCTGAGATGCTGGACGAGGGAAGGGGGGAGAGTGCCGAGTTGACAGGGAAGCCCTGTTGGTGCGACTTTTGAGAATTCTAAAAAGTCGCACCAATATAGTTGACAGGGAAGCCCTGGGTACTGCTTCACGAGCGCTGTGGCATCATACTCCTGAGAGGGCGGGGCAGGCGTGCAGGGGAAGGGGGGGCGGATGAAGGGAGTGGAGAGGGGTGAGGGAGGGGGCCGAGAGCGAGTGCATGTGGAAGCCCTGGGTACTAATTCACTGCTTCACTGCTTCCCGAGCGACTTTTGAGGCGCCTTAAAAGGCATGTGGAAGCCCTGGGCACTGCTTCCCGAGCGCTGTGGCGTCATACTCCTGAGAGGGGTAGAGGGTGGATGGGGGGAGTCAATGAGGGGAGTCAATGAGGGGAGTCAATGAGGGGAGTCAATGAGGGGAGTCAATGAGGGGAGTCAATGAGGGGAGTCAATGAGGGGAGTCAATGAGGGGAGTCAATGAGGGGAGTCAATGAGGGAGTCAATGAGGGGAGTCAATGAGGGGAGTCAATGAGGGGAGTCAATGAGGGGAGTCAATGAGGGGAGTCAATGAGGGGAGTCAATGAGGGGAGTCAATGAGGGGAGTCAATGAGGGGAGTCAATGAGGGGAGTCAATGAGGGGAGTCAATGAGGGGAGTCAATGAGGGGAGTCAATGAGGGGAGTCAATGAGGGGAGTCAATGAGGGGAGTCAATGAGGGGAGTCAATGAGGGGAGTCAATGAGGGGAGTCAATGAGGGGAGTCAATGAGGGGACGAGGGAGGGGAGTCAATGAGGGGACGAGTGAGGGGGGAGACAGCGAGTACATGTGGAAGCCCTGGATACTGCTTCACGTGGACGTACGTGGAGTACGTGGACGGGATAAGGGGGAAGATATGAGCGGGACGAGATGAGGGAGAAGTGATGAGAGGGAAGTAGGAAGACGCAAGTAGGTCACTCCCGCTCTAATTCCCTCCCAACCATGTGACAACTTATCAACCCAACCCAGCCCAACCACCTTCCAACTCAGCAACCAAATCCAGCCAGCTCACCCCCCAGGCTCCTCTGTCCTCTCCCAAGAGTTTCATCGAAATGTGATTTCAAGTGATAAAAGTCGAGTTTTGAGACGTCTCAAAACTCAACTTTTTATCACGTGTGAGCTTATGAGCCACCCACCCACTCTTATCCGCCTCACTTCCAAGACTGCTCTGTCCTCGCACAAATACCCTGAAAAGGTGATCATTAAGTTGAATGGAAAACCGCCCAACCCAACCCAACCCATTGGGCTCACCTCCCAGGCTGCTCTGTCCTCTCCCAAGTACCCTGAGAAGGCCTTCTGCCCCCAGGCTGAGCTGTATTTCCCCTTACTCAGTGGGATTGCAGCCCAGCCCAGCCCAACCACTCCCAACCGACTCGACTCACCTCCCAGGCTGCCTTATCGTCCCCCAAATACCCCGTGAAGGCCTTCTGCCCCCAGGGGCACTCCGTGGGGTTGCAGATGGGGGCGAATGCGGACACGGACTGGAGGGGAAGTGAGAAAAGGGGGAGGAGGGGGAAACACGGGGGAAACAGGGGAAATGGGGCGTTCAGCGTGGAAGGTGAAAAGAAGGCAGCAAGAGAAAGCCTTCTGCCCCCAGGGGCACTCCGTGGGGTTGCAGATGGGAGCGAATGCGGACACGGATTGGAGGGGAAGTGGGGAACAGGGAAAACAGATAGGCCGCTTAGAAAGGCACTTTGGAGACTTCTCAGTAGTGGGACGAGGGCAGTGAGCGAAGACCTTAAGGCTCCCCGAGTGGGACTTCTGAAAATAGGAGATAGTTAGCAGCGGATGACTCGTTATGGAGTGAACCATTAAGCTGCACTGCTGCATCCAAATCCACTTTACTCAGTAACTTCAAACAGAAACACTCGCCTTATACTTGGTGGAATTTCTGAAGAAGATAATCAGCGCGCCGTGTCCCCCCATAGAGTGACCCATTAAGCTGCACCGCTGCATGTCCAGATTAGTGTAGTGAGCGGACAAAATCCGGTGGAGCTCCTCAGTCACATAGTCGTACATCTGCCAGTTCTTCCACTTGGGCACTGTGGCGTTTACATAAAAGCCAGCACCTACACCAAAATCCCAGTTGTCCGATTCCCCTTCCACCTTCAACCCGCCTGCGTAGGGAAAGAAAACAGCAAAAAGGACAGGAGTAGCACCGGACAAGGAAGCAGGTTTAGGTGTATTGATACGTTTCTTTGACTGCCTTTGAGTCGACTCCAAAATTCGGTGGAGCTCCTCAGTCACATAGGAGGAGAGGGTCTCCTCAGTCACATAGGAGGAGAGGGTCTCCTCAGTCACATAGTCGTACATCTGCCAGTTCTTCCACTTGGGAACCGTGGCGTTTACATAAAAGCCGGCACCCACTCCGAAATCCCAATTGTCTGACTCTCCTTCCACCTTCAACCCACCTGAGCAGGGAAAGAAAAATGCGAAAACAAGCGGCGAAGAAGGCATTAAAATGCCATAGGCGTAGCACCAGTAACGAAAGCATATTAAGGTGTATTGGGCTTGGGCATTCTCTGGGAGTCTGACTTCACTGATTGAAGGCCATATATTCAACAACAGTTCCAGTTTTACCCTCGAAAAGGGCATTCGCGTACTTAGGGAAATGCAGCTTAAGAGAAAGGTAATGCAGCTTACGGGGCGAGGTGTCGGGGACAATGAGCGCGACCCCGTGCTCTGAGGCCGGCTTGGGCCCGCAGGGAAGGTGCTGTGAGAAGGAGAGGGAGCTTGCACGGCAGCTTCAGGGGGAGGATGGGGCAGCTTACGGGGCGAGATGTCGGGGACAATGAGGCCGACCCCGTGCTCTGAGGCAGGCTTGCGCGCATTGCCAGGCCGGCGCGTGCAGAGAGATGGGTGGGGAGAAGGGGGTGGGTGGGGAAGCTTACGGGGCGAGGTGTCGGGAACAATGAGGGCGACCCCGTGCTCTGAGGCGTATTTCTGCGCGAACGACTTTTGAATGAAGTTCTCGTCCGTGCAGGTGAGACCCGAGAGCCAGTAGATCACCTGCCGGGGGAGGGAGACAAGACGGCGGAAGGGGTGTGCGGGGGCAACGAACGTGGGGACAGACGCCTCAAGGCACAGTGAGGTCAAACCTGTGCGAATGTGTGAGGCACAATGAGAGCAACCCCGTGCTCTGAGGCGTATTTCTGCGCGAACGACTTTTGAATGAAGTTCTCGTCCGTGCAGGTGAGACCCGAGAGCCAGTAGATCACCTGCGAGGGCTAAGGGAAGGGGTGTGTGGGGACAACGCACGAGGCGACAGGCCGAGATGTGGACGAAACAAGCGCAACGAGGTGAGAGTTCTATAGGCTTATTTGTACCGGGACGCGCGAGGAGGTGGCGGCGGGCGGGAAGTAGATGGAGAATTTCATGGTGCACCCGAGAGTCGCGCTCTCGTGCTCGTAGCGCTTGTTCACGCCGCCGAACATCTTATTGGACGAGATCTCTTTAGGCGCCGCCATTCCGAACGCCGCAGCTGCCGCGAAGCTTCGCGTGCACGCGGAAACGACGGCTTGAGACGCGGGGACGCTTTGCAAAGGGGAGCAGCGCGAGTCGTGTCGAGCTGCAACAGAAATGCAAGGGCTCAGAGAATGAACGGTTCGATTTATGTCGCGAGACTGATGGACGACTCCGGCAACCACGGTGCGGCTTTCGGTAAGCGGCGACGAGGCGGCTGGTCTTTCGGAAAGCGCGGGCGACGCGCCAGATGAAGGGCGACACGAAAAGGGGCTGAAACCCACACTAGCGGCTAGATAGCACGATTGGTGGAGTCTGGAATAGCTAGTCTCGGCGGGGGAGGCGCGGAAGAGGGATTTAATCCCCGGAGCTATCCGCTGGATGCGGGCTGCAGACATTCAAACGGCTGGCTCAGGTGGAGTGAGATCGGAATGAGGTTGGCGATGTATGGAAATAGATTACTGGCGGTCGGTGGTACGGCACGCAGGCGTGAACGGAGAGCGGAACGGATGAAAAATGGTATAGAGAGGTGCGTGCAGATTGGAATGGAAGAAGTTTTGGATGGGTGCATGCATGGCTGGCTAGGGAGGTAAGTTGGAATCTCCTAGAATCTGGATTTGTGATGAATCCCTGGGTCGTAAGCTCCGTTTCATTGCTTCAGAGGAGTCTCGTAACGTAGGTTTTGTTTTTCGCAGGGAAGCTATTTGCATCACTTGTATTCAGGTTCGAATGACGAGAACTCGAACAGCTCTGGTGACGCCGTTGCATTACTGATTCTTTCAGAACACGCCCTCCGTCAATCTAGCTTGATCTGGTATGGTAAGCCATGAATCGCAGAGCGTCGTCTCGTCAGTCGCCAGGCAAGGGACCCTCAGTGATTGGGCACTCTTACAGATGCGACGACGTTTTGCGATTTGCGAAATCTGTTACTACGAATTGGGAACGGTCTTTGAGCTTTGATGAGCTCAGCCGCTCGGGCCAGTTCAACTGTTGAATCCACTCCGCCAACCGTCTCTGTGCGCGTGCGCCATCTTCCCTCCCCTCTCCCCCTGGGCTTTCAAGGGTCCATGGAGTTTTGCGCGGCAGAATCAAATGTGTTGCCGAGCCGAAGTATCAGGTCCGGCACTGATGGTTCAGACAATTCGAGTACGGTTTTGAACGATACAGCATTTAATCCGGTGGTTAATAGTGGTAGAACGAAGTATGTTTCGGGTAAATAAACGTACGACACGTCTCACATCTAATGATAAGTTTAGGAGCTCCAGAAAGACACTCATCACTTTGTGCGGCGCGTGGCGTGCTGCCTGCCTGCTGTGCGCTACCTGCTGCCTGGACAGCAGCTGGTCATCGCCTGAAATATTCTTATCTAATACCTGGTGACGCTGGCCATTCACTTACCTGTCATTCCAGCTAGCTGTCCGTCAACCCCCTATCGTTATTTCGGCACGCTCTCATTCGCCCGCTGCGTAGCGAAAGCGTCGTCAAAGTCCGACTGAGACTCTCAGTCACTATGGCCGACGGAGGCTGGGGCGTGCGACGCCGACTGGCCATCTGGGAGAGCCGAGCAGACTCGTTCCGCGATAAGTCAAGGTACTTGAATAATGAGTAGGACCCCGTTAGGACAAACCGCAAATGACGAGCCGTTAAATGACGAAAGGTTATGTGTTTTGAGTCGACTCAAAACACGACGAACCGTCACATACGAACAACAACGCATTGCCATTTTTTATGAGCGAATGCTCACAGCCTGATGGTCGTCTGTGAATTGCTTTTCTTAGTAATATCCTCCCGCTTTCGCTGTTTCCTCTGACACCTCGCTTTCCATTTCCCAGCGCGGATCCTGTACGAACCTCCACATCAGGTTCGGGAGCTCCCGGAGCTCCCAGCGGCGCACCAGCGCAGTACGGCGCGTCGACAGCCGTTGGATCAACGGCGACGACGAACGGAGGGCGGAGATGGGAACAGTGGGATCGGACGTACGACAACGTTCATTTCTCCACTCCGCGTGATGGCCAGTTCGGTGGGCCCGGCGCGTCGTCAAGCTATGTGGTAAGTAATGCCTAATGCGGTCTATTGGTAATGACACGGTTAGAGTGTTTTTGTTTTTTTGTACAGTTGAAGTAAATGGTTATGGCAAAACAGAGTCCAACTGACGATTCCAAGCGGCCAGTCTATCAGCTCTCTATAATCTATCTGTCCTTTGCTCCTTCTACCACCTGCCGTTCCTACGCAGTAATATCCCAGAGTACTAATATTTTAAAGTGGCACTTTTCCCAATTTCCCCGTCCTTTTGTGGGGTATTTCCCAGCCCGAGGACCCTCGCTACATGCCTACAGGCAACCCGCCTGGCTATCCCGTACCTGGAGCAGGCTCTTCTGGGGCAGGCGCATCTGCTGCCATAGCTACTGCTGCTGCTGCAGGTGTAGCTGCATCTGCAGGTGTAGCCTACCCTTCATCCCGCAGCCGAGGATCAGGGGCGAAACACCACCACCACCGTCACCACCACCACCATCATCAGCACCAGCCACACCAGCAGCCACACCAGCAGCCGCACCAGCAGCCGCAGTACCCTAACCTTCCCCAGCAGCAGCAGGACTACCCTGGGGTAGCCAGCGGCGCAGGGGGAGGGGCGGGGGGAGGGGCGCGGAGGGGGGGACCTCTCCGCATCAGCCCCTCCTACTCTAACGAGCCAGACGCCTCAGGCCTATCAGGGACGACGCTCGGGGGAGGCGGAGGCGGAGGCGGATGGGGAGGCGGAGGGGGAGGGGGGTGGGGCCAGGGGAGGGGGAGTCTGGGCGGAGCGGGATCCGTGGCGGGGGAGGCGGAGGGGATGGGGGGGGAGGGGGAGGAGGCGTGGGCGTGGTGGCGGGAGATGTATCAGGTGGACTGGAAGCCCAAGGAGGTGTTCTTTAAGTTCCGCCAGCGCTTCATGCAGTACAAGCTCGGGGCCAACGTGGAGCTCAGGCGCAGGCTGGATCCCCCACAGCTTTCGACTACCTCCCTTTCTCCGAAGGCCCCTGTTGCGCCCAAGCACAACCCGCTGTCGCTGTGGGGTTTCCAGGTGAGCATTTGAGGGCAGGGGGCGGGGGATTGAGGGGGGTGGACGGGGGAAGGGGAGTGGGCCTGGGTGGGGGAGGGGGAAGGGGAGGGGAGGGGGAGATGTACCAGGTGGACTGGAAGCCCAAGGAGGTGTTCTTCAAGTTCCGCCAGCGCTTCATGCAGTACAAGCTCGGGGCCAATTTGGAACTCCGGCGGAAGCTGGATCCTCCATAGCTTTTCACTGCTTCCCTCTCGCCCAAGGCGGCTCCTGCGCCCAAGCACAACCCACTCTCCCTATGGGGTTTTCAGGTGAGCATTGAAGAGAGCATTGGGGTGGTGGCTGGGTGGAGGGAGTCGCTTCCTGCAGTACAAGCTCGACACCAGCGTCAAGCTCGGGTGTAGGCTCGCCCGCCCACCCCCCCAGCTCTCCACCCTCTCCCTCTCCCCCAAGGCCCGTGCTGCCGCCCGTCCACCCTTTTTTTCTCATCGCCAGGTGAGCAGCGCATACCTGAAGCTGGTGTTAAAGCCAAATATCATGAACCGCAAGTGGAAAGGCATCCTTGTTTTGAGAATTCTCAAAACTCCCGTGCCTCATGTCCACAACATTACACTACACCCGCTCTTATCTACAGTTGAGCAGCGAGAGCCTGAAGCTGGTGTTAAAGCCCAAATATCAAGGACCGCAAGTGAACTGTTGTCGCTGTATGCTACCCCCCACTGCACCCTCTGCGAGCCTGAAGCTGGTGTTAAAGCCCAACATTACGGACTGCAAGTGGAATCAGGCTGATGTCTGTCTGTCCTCCACCCCTTTTCTGCGAACAGGTGAACAGCGCGAACCTGAAGTTGGTCTTAAAGCCCAACATCACGGATCGGAAGTGGAAGGTGATTTTTGAGCCACAGCGGGGGGACATCCGCTTCCTCACCCGCAAGATTCCCATCATGGGGCTGCTCAACCTACAGGTGTGCAGTGCGGTGCAAGGTGGTGCGGTATGGTGCAGTCCGGTACTGTGCGGTGCAGTGCGGTCAGGTGCGGTTGGGGCTGGTTTGGAGGGTCGTCTTTGAGCCTCAGCGGGGGACATCCGCTTCCTCACCCGCAAGATCCCCATCATGGGGCTGCTCAACCTGCAGGTGTGCAGTGCGGTGATATGTGGTGCAATGCAGGTGGTGTACGGTGTAGTGTGGCCAGTTGTGGCTGTGATAAGTGGGCACCTGTAGGGTTGTTATACCATCCCTTTATTTGACTCTCCTATTCTCCCCCCCTCCCCAAGCCTCCATCCCTTTCCCCCTCCTCTCTCACCCCTCACCCTTCCGTCACCCCTCACCCCTCTCTCTCTACTTCTCTCCCACAGGTGGGCGTAGGGCATGAATTCAGGCACAACGCGACGGGGTGGAAATGGAAATTGACCTCGGTGCTCATTCCATCCCCTTTCTCCCTTCCCACCCCCCTTATTTCAACCCTCATCCCTCACCCTTCACCCCACCCACCCCCTTGCGCTTGCCCTTTTTCCTCCACAGGTGGGCATTGGGCACGATTTCAAGCACAACGCGACGGGGTGGAAGTGATAACTCACCTCACTAAAGTCCCCACTTCATTACCCTTGTCCCTCCCCATCCCCATTCTCCCTTCCCACCCCCCTCCACACCCCCCTTTTCCTTTCCCACCCCCCTTCTCTCTCCCCACCCCTCCCCTACTCTCCCACAGGAGGGCATAGGGCATGACTTCAAGCACAACGCAACGGGGTGGAAGTGGAAACTCACCTCAGTTTCCTTTTCACCCCTCCTCTCTCTCCCTGACCACCTTATTTCACCCCTCAAGCCTTCTCCCCAACCTCTTTCTCTCTCCCCTTGTCTCCCACAGGTGGGCATTGGGCATGACTTCAAGCACAACGCAACAGGGTGGAAATGGAAACTCACCTCCGCGCTGAATGGGAACACGCCCTCGGAGATTCGTTATAAGCACAACCTGCCTGTGTGCCCGGGCGTGGATGTGCGCGTGGGGTGGAATGCAGAATATGTGCTGCCAGACATGCATGGGTGAGTCTTGAAGCTGTATGGTTGTCATGACATGCATGGGTGAGTCTTGAAGGTGTATGGTTGTCATGACATGCATGGGTGAGTCTTGAAGATGTATGGTTGTCATGACATGCATGGGTGAGTCTTGAAGCTGTATGGTTGTCATGACATGCATGGGTGAGTCTTGAAGGTGTATGATTGTCATGACATGCATGGGTGAGTCCTGAAGGTGTATGGTTGTCATGACATACATGGGTGAGGTCATGTGCTGCCCTGCATGCATGGGTGGATGTGAGCGTGGGGTGGAATGCCGAATGCGTGCTGCCTGACATGCATGGGTGAGTCTTACAGGGCTTGTTCAAGCACTCTTCTTGGTTATTTCGCTCTGTGTATCGTTCTCCTTTCCTCTGTCTTCTGTTGTCCCTGTCCCCATCACTGGAGCGCTGGGTACGGGAGGACTTTTGAGACGTCTCAAAAGTCGTCTACGGGAGAGCAGAGCCCCTTCTAGTTTTTGAAAACCCTCAAGAACCACCTCCCTCTTTTCCTCTTTCTTCTGTTGCCCCTCTCCTCGGAGCACTGGATACTGGGTAGGGGAGCCCAATTGGTGTGACTTCTGAGAATTCTCAAAAGTCGCACCCATCACCGGAGCGCTGGGTATGTGGGAGGGGAGCCCATTCTAGGGCTGAGTTTGTGCCCTCACTCTCCCCTCATGTCTATTTCCTCTCTTGTATCTCATGCCCCCTCATGTCTCAAATAACTCTCCCCATCATCAGAGCCTTGGGCACAGGGGAACCTATTCTGGGGCTGAATGTGGGGCGGCTGTACGCGTCAGTGGAGAGACTAGAAGCCATCTTCACCTCCATTGACTGACGTTCACCGCTGTTGAGCGCTGTTGGCTGCTTTTGACCGTGGTGAACTGCTGTTGACCTGCTGTGGGGCGGCTGTACGCATCAGTGGAGAGACTAGAAGCCATCTTCACCTCCATTGACTGATGTGTACCGCCGTGGACCGTGGTGAACTGTTGACCGCTGTTGGCTGTGGTGCTGGTGATTGCTGTTGAATGCTGCAGACATGGCTAGTTGATGGTCATGCGCAGTGACGCAGCTCTCTCCTGTCCTGTCTTTTGAGTCGACTCAAAAGTCACATGGTCATGCGCAGTGACACAGTCCTCTCCTGTCCTGTGATATGCAAGATGAGACGTGATACGGCTGTTGATGGTACACCTACGTGTGCACACATCTTAGCTGCAAGCTGTAGTCTGCCTAGTTATTTTCGTAGAAGTTGGTTTGCCTAGAGGCTCTAGGAATACTGGGAAGGAAAGGTTGCTTTCCGCTTATCTTTGTTTTTTAGATTGCCTGAAGATGGTAGTACAGTCAGCCTCATTTCCCCCCCTCCCCCCGTCCAGTATGGTGAGAGTTGAAGAATCATGTGTAGTACAGTAGTCCTGTTTTATTATTTCAAGGCTAGTCAATGTTCCAATGAATTAAATTACATAATGTAAGGCATTGAATAAACAAGTATAGTGGCTCTACTCTCCCAGCCATGGCTGGTTACACAATAACTTCAATTTTGCTGCTGCGGCAATGCTTCGTCATATGGCCCATCAAGCTTGCCCTGTTACCTGATAACAGCAGCAGGTAAAGTCATCCAAGACACAGCAGCAAGTCTACCGTGGCAACTCCTGGCGATTGCAGCCTTACAGAGCAGAGGGGCAGAAGGAGGCACCTTGGCTACCAGTGTGTTGGTGTTCCACCCTGCAGCAGCTGCCTTGGCAAGGAAGCCCTCAAACTCCTGCTGAGAGGAACAGCAGCGAGCGAGACCACGAGGCCATTTGGGATCACAGCATGAGCAGAGGGGCGGAGGGCGGCACCTTTGCCAGGAGAGTGTTGGTGTCCCACCCTGCAGCGGTCTCCTGGGCGAGGAACCCCTCATACTCCCTGCCTAGCGCATGTAGAGAGGCTTGCAAAACACCAATTATGCCCCGCAGCCAGGCAGCTCCGAATTACAGCATGAGCAGAGGGGCGGAGGGCGGCACCTTTGCCACGAGAGTGTTGGTGTCCCACCCAGCAGTGGATGCCTTGCCAAGAAACCCCTCAAACTCACTGCCTAGCGCGTTCAGAGACTCTTGAAGAATGCCAATGCCACCACTGCTGCTGCTGCTATTGCCAACGCCACCACTTCTGCTGGCGCCGCTTCTGTCAGCCAAATCAGAGTGGACCTCCTCCCCATCTGCCCCATGCTCCCTTCTTCTCTCCCTCCTCTGCTGCTGCAGCCAGCACGCCTGCCACACCACCCTCAGAACCGTCCCCTTTGATGCTCCTTGCTGCCGACATTTGTGGAGGATAGTAGAGAGAGGAGGGGGAGTAGAAAAACGATGAGTGGAAAGGGGGTTGGGTGAGAGGGTGAAGCGGGGAAGGTGGTACGTGGTTAGGATTACGGAAAAGTGGAGAGAATAGGGGGTTGGACTGAGTATAGGAGGTGCAAGCAACGGCTAGGCTGCAATGGAAGAGGCTGTAATGCAGTAACGGAAGAGGGAGAGCAAGCAACGGCTAGGCTGAAGGAGAGAAAGGGAAGAGAGCGGGGACAGGGGAGGAGAAGAAGCAAGATTGGGCACCTTGAAAATGGCAGAAAAAACGTTTGCAGACATCTCAAAGCAAGATAAGATGACAGAAAAGACGTTTGAAGACGTCTCAAAGTAAGATAAGATGACAGAAAACACGTTTTGAGACGTTTCAAAGCAAGATAGGGTACCTTGAAGATGACAGAAAATGCACCGGTATCATCCATTAGAAGCACATGCTGCTCGTCTCGATACAGTGCCAGGAGCTCCGTGATTGGCTGGAAGATGACACATGGACGCAGTTTAGAGACAAGGGATAACATCGAGAGGGAGAGGGAGAGATGCAACGGAAAGGACTGAGGCGGGTAAAGGTTGCTTATTGCTTCTCCAGAGTACTTTTCTTTGCGACAACTCAGAAGGACTGAGGCGGGTACTCCTCCTCCCCGAGCTACATTTGAGACGTCTCAAAAGTCATAGATCCTGCTCGCCTGGTGTAGTGACTGGCTGGAGGTATGCGATTGCGTGAGAAGAGACTGTTGACGAGGTATGCGATTGCGTGAGAATGAGACAAGGAGAGTCTGAAAATGAAGAGACCACCAGGCAGAGATAAACAGACGAACAGCAGCCCCCCCCCCCTCTCCCCCCCACTCCCCTCCGTCCTCCCTCCCGCCTCCCTCCCTCCTCCAACAACAGAAAATCTCACTATTCTGTTGGCCGATTGTTGTTCGAGCAGCGCGGACAAGTCAGCAAGGGAGCAACCAAGGTTGATGCGAGGGGACGTGAGGCGGCGAGGCAGCCAGAGGCGCTCCTTCTGGTTGACTGCCTGCACTGAGGGCAGCGTTGCAGCCCCTGAGCTAGAGGCGTTCCTGTCAGTCTATAAGTGAGGCACCTCAACAGCTGAGTCCGTACCATTCGATTGGCTGACTGTTGTTCAAGCAGGACGGACAAGTCAGCAAGGGAGCAGCCGAGGTTGATGCGAGGAGTTGTCAGTCGGCGAGGCAGCCAGAGGCGCTCCTTCTGGTTCACTGCCTGCACAGAGGGCAGCTCTGTTGCCCCTGAGACGTGCGCTCGGGCAAGGATGGCCATGCGCTTGAAATTCAGCTGAAGGTTAGAGGGGGGAAGATGGAGTGTTGAAGGATGGGAATGGACGTGAGGCGGCGGGGAAGCCGGAAGTGCTCCCTTCGGTTGACTGCTTGCACGGAGGGCAGCTCTGCAGCTCCTGAGATATGCGTTCTGGCAGGGATGGCTGTGCGCTTGAAGCTCAGCTGAGGGGAAGTAGAGGGGAGAAAGTGGTCGGTCGGTGAGGCTGGTGGGAAAAACAAAGGCGCTCGCGCCTGTCAATTGACTGGTTGCACAGAGGGCAGCTCTGCTGCCAAGGGGGAAAGGGGAAAAGAAGAGGGGGAAAGGCAGGCCCCCGAGTTACAAAAAAAAAAAGTGCTATTGTTTCTACGCGACAAGACTCGGCGATGTAGGGCGAACCCAGCAGCACCACGCCACACCCCAGCCATGAGGCCCGCACTCCACTCACCCCCTCAACTCAACAACTCATTAGGTCAAAATCGAGCAGAGAGAGAGACTTGAATACACTATGAGGCCTAGTGAGAGGACCGCAGCACAGCCCACGTGGTGATGAGGCTCCAATACGACTCGGCAATGCCCGGAGAACCCAGCAGCACCACGCCATACCCCAGCAACGAGCCCCGCACTCCGCTCACCCTTCCGGACACACGCTACTCACCGAGTCAAACTCGAACACGGAGAGCGACTTGAACCGAAAAGCGAGGTGAGTGGAGCGAATCACAGCCCACGTGGTGACCAGGCTCCAATACGACTCTCCCCGTTCCCCTTCAGACACGCAACCGCAACTCACAGAGTCAAACTCGAGCACAGAGAGCGACTTGAACCGGAAGGCCAAATGAGTTGACCGAATCACAGCCCACGTGGTGACTAGGCTCCAATACGACTCTCCCCGTTCCCCTTCAGACACGCAACCGCAACTCACAGAGTCAAACTCGAGCACAGAGAGCGACTTGAACCGGAACGCCAAGTGAGTTGACCGAATCACAGCCCACGTGGTGACCAGGCTCCAATACGACTCGGCAATGTAGGGCGAGCTGAGCAGCAGCACGCCACACCCCAGCCCCACCAGCTGCGCCATCACCTTATACACCTCCTCCTTTGCCACCACCTCCCCCACATTCGCCTGCAGGGCAAAGTGCGTCTGGATAACCCTAGCCGACGGGTCTTTGAGCCCTTTCGCGACTGCTTTTGTGAGGTTTCCGAGGGATGCGAGGAGGAGGAAGTGGGTCGGCGCGAGGGGGGTCGCGAGCTCGAATATTGCCCCGGACGAGCCGATTAGGTCCGCGACGAACCTCCACTGCTTCGGATCCTCGTCGAAGATGCTGCCGAACCTGCCGCCCACGAGGAGGCGGCCGACCGCGCCTATGCCGTCCTTAGCCACCCATTTGATGGCGGCAGTGGCGGCGGCGGCAGAAGCGGGGTCTACGGCGGGGAGGGCGGCTGCTGCTGCTGCTGCTGAGGTTGCGAGGGTTGCTGCTCCTGCTGCGACTGTACCAGCCGTACCAGCAGCAACGGCACCAGCAGCAGCGCCAGTAGCAGCAGCAGCACCAGAGGCAGCGGCAGTGCCAGCAGCGGCAGTGGCTGTGGCTTTAACGAGCGAGCCGACGCCAACTGCTTGCAGGAGCGTGGATGTGACGAGGGTTGACGAGGCCCACCCCGTTATGTGCACCGGGAACTGCCAGAGCCTGGTGGGTGGGAGGGAGGGGGGGGTGGATGGGAGGACCTTTCAGTCTTGAAACATCTCACATCACAATAGCGAGGGTTGACGAGGCCCACCCCGTTATGTGCACCGGGAACTGCCAGAGCCTGATGGGAGGGAGGGGAGGAGGAGAGAGGAGATGGGTGGAGATTGGCGGAAATGGGAGGAGAGGGGAGGAGAGGGGAGGAGAGGGGAGGAGAGGGGAGTTGAGGGGAGGAAAGGAGAGGAGAGGGGAATTGAGGGGAGGAAAGGGGATGAGAGGAAAGAAAGTGAACGAGGGAGGAGAGGGGAGGAAAAGGGATGAGGCTATGAGAGAGGAGGAAAGAAAACGAGGGAGGAGAGGGGTGGAAAGGGGATGCGAGATGAGGAGAGGGAAGGAGATGGAAGGAGAACAATGAAAGGGACGGGAGGGGATCAAAGGGGAAATGAACGGATGAAATGCGAAAAGCGGTAGATGGGATGTGGGGGGGGAGGAGGAAATGAGGGACATGAGGAACGAGAAAGGTGTGGAGGGGCAAAGAATTTAAGTTAAAAGCTTACATGTAGCTGGTGTAGTCACTGGTCAAGCTGCCCGGGTATCCAGCGGGCAGGAAGAAATTCTTTGCTGACTGAACCAGAGAGTCGAAGCGGCCACTTCGGGCAGGCTCAGCCCCGCCTCCGTTACTGTCACCTTCGTTAGAAGCACCAGCAGCGCCATCAGCGGAAGACACAGCATCAGGGGGGGTGGAAGAGGGAGGGGGGTCTGCAACGCTCACAGCTCCTTCAGAGAGGCTGATTCTATACCTGGGAAGGGGGAATGAAGAAACAGGGGGGAAAGTGAAACAGGGAGGACGAATAAGGAAACAGGGCGCGGAAGTCACAGCGGCAGGGGGGATTAGGGTTATGGAGGGGGTTCTGCGACGCTTACAGCTCCTTCAGACGGACTGATGCGATACCTGAGAAGGGGAATGAGGAAACAGGGCGCGGAAACAAGGGTGATCGCTATGTGAGGGAGGGAGGGAGGGAGGGAGGGAGGGAAAGAGGAAGGGTGGTGAACACTCCGAGTTGGGTGGGGTACAACCAGAAGTAGCAGAGGGAAAGGGGTGAGTGGGGTGTGAGGGAGGAAGGAGAGAGGGACAAACCGAAAGGCGTTACGGAGGGGCCTTGGCTGAAGAGAGAGATTACCATGGTCATGATTCAGCGTTACGAGATACAAAAAATGTTAGGGAATAAGAGAATTCGATACAAGGAAGGAATGAGACATCAGGTTTTGAGAGACACCAAGATGTGCGTTAATCTATTCTGGCCCGAACAGAAGTACTATTTCTAGTAGAACCCGGATATTAAGGGGGGAAGCTTAATAGCCTGAAAGGGAAAGAACCATAGCGTCCATTTACCTCCGTATAGACGCATTCGCGCGTCTCTCCTCAACAATAAACCCGTCCTGTACCTCCCTCGACACGTCAGCGTCTTTCGGTCTCTTGCTGTCGCTGTCTCCCCGGTCGTTTCCTACTTGATTGTTCCCGCTGCCGTTTCGTGCATTATTATTCCGGTCACTTGCTTCTTTACTCCCGCTTGAGCTGTCAGAGTCAGCCTGGCACCGAAATTTTAACGTCCTCGCCCTAACGTAATGAGACTTTGTCGTGTATCGGAATGTCTTATAACGGGGATGGGACTTAGTCCATCGGGAACACGTAGCACTACCCTCTGATAGTACAGAAAGCGACGTGTGGACTGCATGATTCTTCGATAACGGAGAAATCACACAACAACCACTGAAAGGCGATTGTAGGTGAGCTGCCATTGCACCAAAGCCTTTCAATGACGTGGCGTGATCACAACTTGACGTCACAAGTTGGCCAAACGCCTCTTCATAAGACTAAAGTCGAGTTTCTAGGGAAGGAAGGTCGAAGGGTCGAAGGGGAGAGGCGACGCAGTAGGACGGACGGGAAACGGGACGTTAGTTACGCAAGGAGGGTGGCTTGTAGGTACTACGGTGGGGTGATCCTTGTTGGCGGTGTGAATAATCAAATCAACAGGATTTCGTTGGATTCGACTTGGAGGTTTGGGCAGTTGGAGAACTTGTTTTGTCCAGAAGCCGCGACCGAAACAACGAGGAACCTCAACGCAAGACCAGATTAATAGCCAAATAAATGCAGCTTGCAAGCTGGCAGAATGCAAGGATGCTAATCTGGCTGCTAGCGGAGCACGCGTGGCGCGACAGATTCCGGAGACGCCATCCGTTTCTGAAGGGCCAAAAGGAAACGATCGCCTGCCCCTTCAACAGATCAAGGGTCACACCGGAAATGACGGGGCATGCTCGAGCGCAACGGCCGCAATTTCCAAGAGTTTCCCGCCCCAAACTAGCATCGACCAGAGGAGCAAAGGCGGCGGATTCTCCTCAGTGAAACAGAACACACCGAGGGTGCGTTGCGAGTCTATTTGTTGACCATCGTAAGTCTTCTCAAACCATCAGTCAGGACTCAGCAGCAGTCGCTGAGTTCTGTCCGCGGAGAGGGCTGCTGCGAGAAAATCGTACTTTCTTGGGTACACGTGTAACGATAGTGTGGGCCCCAAAACCACTAGGAATACGTGTGCAGTCGCTTCCTGTCCCACGTTTGCAATACTACTGCTGCTGACATGTATTCCGTGGTAGGTGGGCGCTGGGTGGCTTTTATGCGACTTGGGGCGTTATCACGGTCAAGTTCGCTGTCTCACGGTGAGAGGCGGTAAACCTGAGCCCACATAAGAAATGTGAAAATAGGTCCATTGTCCATGATTTTCCTATTGTTCACACTGCCAGAACAAGTTAGAACTAAACATAATTGATTACAGGTGTGCTATCACCCATTATGAACATATGGGAACCTTCTCCAAAGAAATGTGTCATGAGCTAAAGCCTGTCTTGTCTCTCCCTAACATGTGATTTATTAGCCCTTTGTTCCATCATGCTCTGCACCAGAAGCGCGCTCTCCAAACTGTTAATCTGAGACTGCAAAAGAGGTAAACAAGAGCATGAGATATCTCAAACATAATCAAGGTTCGCCAAATGCAAACGAAGACACTTTTTACCTGAAGGTGTGTTATATGGGAAATGGCCACCTCAATCATCGTCGCAGTGTCTACTTGTGGTCCCACCGCTCCTGCTGGTAGCGTCCGCCTCAACTGCTGCAACCCCTCGCTGCAATGATAAAAGCTCAATCGTAAAAATCCAGGTGCAAGGGAAACAAATGCCCTAATGTGCACTAAGAGCTGGGAACACACCTTATTTTATCTCGCCTCTTCCTTTCGCGCATGCTTCTTGGTTTTATGACCCCCCTCTCCTTAGCTTCTGCATCAAAGCGTGTCCGGGTCCTAGGTCGCCAATCTCTTGTTGCAAAGCTGTCTGGCAGCTGACGTACCAGGCTCAATTGCTCTGCTTGTAACCTTCCCGCCAAATCTGCACTGAAATTCACCGCGCCTACTGCAGGATCCCCATCATCACCGAGAACATCCGCAGTTGCCCCAACACCCGCTGCTGCAGGAGAGTCGCTGCCATCCAAACCACCGCCATCAACCAGCATGCCGGCTTGACCTCTCCTAGGGTCTGATCTCAGAAGCTCTTGCACCAGGGCCTCTTCTTCTAGGTCAAGCATAGCCCTTGCAAGCATGCAATCCTCGTCCCCAGGAAGTGACATGGTTCGTCTGCTGCCAACACTCCTCGCAGCCAGTGCCATTTCGCCCGAGAGCCTCGGCATGGAGCTCGACAGGCCAGCGGATCCTGCCAAAGGCGACCCGGAGAGATTAGGTGAACCAGAGGTGGTAGCAGGTGATTCGGCGACACGTGGCGATGCAGACTTAGTCACAAGCAGCGTGGCGTTTGGGTCTGAGCCTCCGCGAGTTGGCCGTGGTATTTCAGTAGTCAAGCTGATCTCCGCTTGCAAACCGCTTATGTGTTGCGGCCTTTGCTCCGGTGGCACAGGAATGGCGAACTCGGGACGAGCAGAAACGTTGGGATTTCCGTCCGAATTTGTGCCAGCATGGGGATTCGAACTCCGACCCATCATACCCCGAAGAAACTCTTCCAAAGGGGTTTCGTCCCCAGATTGTGAGGGGGCCCATTCCGCCGTTTCTGGAAGTTGTGATGATGATCCGGCGCCACCCTCCAAGAATCCCGCATTGCCGCCCACGTGGATCCCGCTATCATTAATACGACGACCATGAAATTGCGAGCTGGTAGAAGCTGATATGTCAAGAGTGCTCGGGCCGCCGGCGCCGCCGGCGGTTGCATTCCCCGAAGAAATCATTCCGAACATCTCTGCATTCAAATCTTCTTCTTCTACCTCCTTCGTAGGTATGCTGGTATTACTAGTAGTAGTAGTGTCGCCGCCTTCGGAAAGCCCTTCAGTGCCGCCCATACCAAAGTCTTTCGAGGTGGCGACTGCTGAAAATGGTTGCCGGTGAAATCGCGAGGGCCGACGGAGACTATGGCCAGCGGCGCGGCGATTCGAAGTTGAAGGAAGAGCGTTAGCGGCAGAACCTGGCAGTGAAGTTGGCGACGAGACAAGCGACACTGGCGTGCGACAGCTTGAGCTGGTAACCGCGACATTGTGCGACGCCGCGGCGACGGGATCGCCGACGGAGAAAGGCGCGTCGCGAGGCATGACTGACCGCGGCCCGGGAAGCGCATACTTTCCGCTTGCAACAGCTCCGCCCGCCGAAGAGAAACTTCTTTCTTCCGCGGCGGAGAGGATCTGCAGCTGCGCGAAACGCGCAGCCTCGGCGGAACGCTCGAGCAGCTCCGGAAGCTCTTGAGCGGCGAGACGGGCCGGCGACTCGTAACCTTGAGCTGATTCGGTGTTCTTATTATTTTCTCGTGCCGAGTTGGCGACGGTGGGAGGTATCACTACAGATGCCGACTCGGCCGCGGAAGCGTCAAGCCGCTTGTCGGCGCGAGCCGTGGGCGGCGGCATGCCGCCATTGGTGGTGCTGCTGCCTTCAAGCTGCAGCTGATGTACCCACGCTTCGACCGCGGTCCGCTGCCGATGCATCATCGCCGCGAGCGCCGTCTCCGTGAGGTTTGGCGACTGAAACGGGCCGCCCGCGGGTGGGGGATGAGTGCGCTGACGAAAATGATGAGCCTCGGCCGAACCGCCGACACCCCTGGCGGAGACGGCGTTGGAAACTTCGGTACCCCTATGGACGATTACGTCGTGCTGACTCGGATACGACATGATAATCGCGGCGACTCGTCGATGTTCGAAGATGGTCTACGCCCGTAATGCAAGCCGCAGGAGCGAATCTGGGGGCGACTCGCCAAGAGTGCCCCAAGAGTGCCTCCAGAGTGTCTTTCGTCGGGAGGGACAGAGTCGAGTAGAACCAATTTCTTGCTTCTCGAGTCGTCGGTAACGAACGACACGACGGGTTCTGTTCGTCGACACAGTGATCTCAGGTTAGTAAGGACTGGAGCAGGGCCGCTGCAAATATATTGACTACAGTAATCACTGCATTGTGGTGGAGGTGATGAAGTTAGTACATGTACTACAGTGTGCGCTTCTGCGCTTATGAAGGCAGACTGGTAATTTCAAAGTAAAAGCCGGCTAGTAGAGACAAGCAGTGGAGACATTCGACTGAGCTGGAAAGAAAAGCACGCTGATGCGAGTAACTTGCAGCTTTCCATGAATTTAGACGATCTCCGCGTAGCAGTGAGAATCCTTCCCACAAGCTGCGAAGCTCGAGCTTCGAGAACCAGTTAAAATAGAGCGGCCCGCCCGCGAGCTAAGGCTGAATGCAAGCGATGGGATAGGAGGAGTTTCAAAATCTGTTACAGATGTTCTCGTTTATAGTCCGACGGATCAACATTGCCGCGCGCGGACTATGTGGCAAACCCTTCAAACCCCAGGCAAAACGCGATACATATAGTCCCATTCAGGAAAATTGCATGAAGAGTGGTTGTTCTGCTACTCGTTTCTGAAGTTTGGCATTTACGTAGATTTGTACCGTGCTTGCTTCAACTTCCAGTCGCACGGTTTTCCACGCTGATCAATGTCGCATGACTAACGGTAAAAACAAAACAAAATCAAATATGGTTTGGGGGTCGAAGAGTAACCCGAAAACTTCGTTTCTACCCTGTAAGCGAGATAAATGAGGTGTCATCGTCGATCACGCTGGAGACAGCGCGACAGGATTGAGAATTAGTCGCAGTCAAGAGAAAC